AGATGGCCTAGATACCCCCACCATTTCTTCTTCATACACCTATTACCATCCAGTGGAAGTCCCCAAGCTATCCTGCCTCACAGACTCTCACCCACTGGCAGAGCATTCTTGGCTGATTGATGGGAAGTTGCAGCAATCAGCAAAAGTGTTCTTTATCCCCCAAATCACTAAAACATATAGAATGGCCTATGTCTGTTTCATCCATAACCCAGTTACTGATGGAACAAATCTCGTCATTAAGAGCATCATAGTTCCTGGTAAGTGGATCCATGGAGCATTGGCCATATGTTTTCCAGTGAAGTCTATCTGGCTATCAAGGAAGAACCACCTGCCCTCTGCAGAGGGAGAAGGAAATAAAAAACCCAGGACAGGGAATATGTTTCTGCTCCAAAACGACCAGCTTTTGCCTGTCCCCTTCACTCTTTCTAGATCATTCCTTACACTCTGTTCTATCTTTGGAGGTCACTGGCTCAAGTAAGTCATCATGAAACACCTGCAAAAAACTACCCCACCTTGTACCTCCACTGCCTGAGGACTGAACTGACCTCCAGGTTTGACTCTGGTCTCCCATGTCTTATTTCTGCTGAAACATTCAGTCCCAGGCCAGGCTGTTCAGTATCTTAGGGTTTCAGGACAATGGGAAGTCCCATTATTACTCATCTCTAGAATGTCCTTGGAAATGGAAGCTGCAGAGAAATCACATCTAGGGAGGCAAAGTAGGATGGAATTTGGAAGGGACCCAGCAGTTGCACATTCCAGGTAAGGAGTCCAAGGTGAGCCAGCCAGTCAGTGGATTAGAGAGGGACTGGGACGTGTACCAGGGGCTGTGACTCCCACTGACATGTCTGTCCATGACCCAACACTGCTGCTCAATTCACACTTCAGAAAGTCTGTGCTACCCTAAGACAGAGCAGGCAGCCTCATAGTCTTTGAGCCCTTAGATCATCATACGTCTGTCTTGTGACACACGCACCAGCTATTGACTTTCCAGGACTCGGGTGGGCTGAGAGGTGGGAGATGCCAACTCTGATTGAAGGATGTCTGTGGAGGAATCAAAGGTGCCACACAGGACAATCTTCTCTCTGTTATCCATCCAGCGGAGTTGCCCAAGCCCTACATCACCAGCAACAATTTCAACCCCATGGAGAACAAGAATGATGTATCCTTAACTTATGTACCTAAGACTCAGGGCTACACCTACGTGTGGTGGGTAAATGGTCAGAGCCTCCCGGTCAGTCCCAGGCTAAAGCAACCCGGTAAAAACAGGATCCTCATTCTAGCCAATGTCACAAGAAATGAACAGGACCCTATGAATGTGAAATACGGGACCGAGTTGGTAGCATCTGCAGTGACCCAGTCATCCTGGATGTCCTTTTTATCTTTGGTTCCTCTGTGGACCAGGCCACCAGCAAAACTCCAAGCGACCAGAGGCCAGGCATCTCAGTCTCTCTCAGGTTCAAGTACAGACAATTTTATTTCTGGACACCAGGGCTGGCCATGACTCCCTGCCCTGGGAAAACTTGGCTAGGCACAGCCTTAAGCAAGAATATAAAGAGAGGGGCTGCTCTTGTCATGGGAGACTTGGGGTCTACAGCCTGTGATGGGAGAAACACGTGAATACCTCAGGCCTCGGCTCAGTGAACACAGAAGGAGTTTGGCTGGGCCTTGAGGGTGTGTCTTGGCTCAGAGGGACACTGTGTCCCTTTGAGAGACCAGGTGCATCCCCTTCCCTCTACTTGTCCTGCTTCGCGAACTCTAACCCACCGGCAGAGTATTCTTGGACGATTAATGGGAAGTTTGTGCAATCAGGACAAGAGCTCTTTATCCCCCAAATTAGTACAAAGCATAACGGGATCTATGGTTGCTCTGCTCGTAACTCAGCCACTGGCAGGGAATGTTCCACATTCAAGATGGTCATAGTCTCTGGTAAGTGGATCCCTGCATCATTGGCAATAGGGTTTTAGGTG